GCTGTTGCTCAGTATGCTCCCCGAGCCGCCAGGCTGCTGCGAGTGGAGGAGGGCTTGTTTGCGTTTGGCTTGTTAAACCCTGGGATTTCAAGTGCGCCTCCGGATGAACCGCGGCACGGCAGATGTGCGGAGGGAAGGGAGATGCTTTCGGCTGGAGCCAAAAAGTACGTGTCGGGAGGAGGGTTGCTGAAAAGGGGGAGCTGGGCAGGAAGAAGGGAAGGGAGCCCTTCTCTTCTGGTTTTGGTAGGGTTTTTTGTTGTTTTTTGCTTGCTTGGTTTTGTTTGAGGGTTCTTCCCTCCCTCTACGGAATAATTGGTTTAATTGTTTGCCCTTTAAAAATCTTCTCAAAGTTGTCTTGATTTAATGAGTTTTGATTTCTTTTTTTGTGCAGCTGAGCTGGATCTCCCCAGAGGGAAATGTTCTTTATGAGGCTGTGTCTAGATTTTTAGGCTGGAATTGGAGTTTTGGTTGATGGGAAAACCCTGGCCATGCAAGGGAGGATGTAGCAGGTGACTTCTCATTGTGGTACTTGTTGCACCGTCAAGATCTAGTTCACTAAACCTTATCGCGATCTTGTCGTTAATAGCAGGAAAATCTTAAAAAAAGGAGAAATATAAATGAAGCCCTAGAGCGGATTTCAGGGTTGTTACCCTTCGTGGAGCTGATTCATGTAATGTAAAGTGACCTAAATGACGTGCTGTAGAAGGGTCTGTCAGTTGTTTATGTGTTTAGCTAGGATTATTTGAAGACATAAGGAAAAGAGGATTTACTTGTGCATTGCAAATTAGTTACGATGATTGGGGGCAGAAAACTGAGGCAGGTCAGCAAACTCTATATGAGGAATATTTTTGTCCCTGGGTACCCCGACCTCATATTTTTGCAATACCTTGTACTGATTTTAGAATAGATTTCCTACTAAATCTTTGATTGTTTGCCTGTATTTAACTTCATTAGCCAGCCCAGCACTGGCTTTGAAGTAACTCTACTAAGAATATTTGTGCCCTTCTCGGTAAACTGCTGTTGTACAAACAAGGTTTTAAGACTGGAAGAGGAAGGGCTGTGGGAGTGGTGCGAGAGAAGTCCCAGCTCGGGAGGGAAGCGGTGGGTGTCATCTAATTGCAACAGGTCACTGTCTTGCAGTATCCCACAGAGAGAAGGAAGTTGGGGACAGCTTCACTTTGGATTGATTTTTGTCTTTTCATTCACATCTTTATTAGGGTGGCCGTGCAGGTTATTTCTGCTGTTAAATTTTCTCTGAAATCTCCTAGGATAGTTATGTCCAAGTTTGTTCCCTGTCACTATATGCTTACCAAATTTTGAGCTAGTTCATGTTCTGTGATACTTCCTCTTGTCATCAAGTTAGCTATAGAAGAACGCAGGAGTGTAAGAATGTACTTCAGTAAGTTCATGATGAGATTTAAAGCTGAAAATTTGTGATGTCGTTCAACTGCTTTTTGGGGGGAGAGGGGATTGCAGGGATTTCAAATTGTTCCCCGCAGGCTGCCCCATGCTGCCAACGTGCTGGGTTGCCAGCCCACAGAGATGGTGGGGCTGCTCAAGGTTGTCTGCCCGATCCAGTAGTTCCTGTCAAACAATTTCAAGCAGAATTGATTGGAAATGCAAGACCAAGGCCCAGAATAGAAATATATGTTTGCGTAATATTGGTGGTGATAAGATGAAGCTGATGATGCTGTTGAACCACCAGGTCATCACAAAGCAATGTTAATAGATGAGGTGGTACAGCCTTTTGTAGCTAGGTACCCAGCAGTTTCTCAAAGTTGCACAAAAAGAACAAGAAGATGTGGAGCTGCAAGATGTTACAGCTGCCATATAAGCTAAGCTATTTCAGTGCTGAAAAATGGGAATCCTTGGTTGAGTGGTGCAAGGGGGATGAAGGGGTTCCTGATAATGCAGCTGACAGGCAGCTGGAGGACTGACTTGAGCAAAATGTTTGTACTCTTATCAAAGGACTCCAATGCAGTCACTAGACACCTTAAATAAATTCTGTGATGAGGACAGTCATCCTGGGATGCATCAAAATAAAAAGACGTCGTTCACAATTAACATGTAATTTTGGTAGGTACTGATTTGAGTGCGCGCTTAGCAACAAGCTAATTAACCAGTCAAAAATGCATGATACCGGATCGTAGCCAGTAGTTCAGCATGCGATGCAACACGTACAAAATGCATGAGTTTATAGAAGGGGGAGGCATGGTTCAAGTATCCAGACTTGGGCTGCCGTACAGCTGGATCACGACGTATGCTGGTGGTTCACCCTGTAGGGTGTCTGCTGGTTTCTTGCTGTACTGCCCGGATGAAGGCTCAGTCCCATATTGAGTCAGACTTGGTGTCTGGGGCCTCCAGGGCAGCCCGTTGCGGTGGGGGACGAGCGGCTCTCCCTGGGAGCACTGCGCTGGGCCCCAGCCCGTGGAGCTGCCGGCCTCCCCCAGGGAGGGCAAACCCAGGCATGGCATCCGTGGCTTGCCTCATTAGGTCTTTGCATAGAGAAAGCAGGACAAATAAATAGGCAGGAGGCCCTTCCTGATGTTTGTGGTGTAAATGGACAGAGCACTGCAAGAGGCTGATGAGCCCAGACCGGCAGACTTGAATGCAGGGTGAGGATATATGCCTGAGGTCTGCTAAAATTTATAACGACAAAACAAAGCAGACTACTGTCAGCGTAGCTACATTGCCAGTAACTTTACAGGCTAGGCGAAACAAAGTCTTTGCTGGTTGAAGGATAGTATGAACTATTTAATTTAAGCAGCTAAAGGTAGTCTAGGGCTAATAGAGCATGGGAAAAAATATCACTGCCCATGCTGTATCTGTGCCCTAACAATGACTGAAAAGGAACTTTTCTCTCAGGTGAGAAATCTATTTATTTTTGAATTTAAAAAAAAAAAAAGGCAGACTATTTCTCTTGAACTTTCTGAAAACAATGACAGTAGTCATCAGTAAAGTACTTGCCTTTTTCTTAGAAAAAATACATACCTAGGTTTTTGTGTTACTGATGTCTTTTACTATGACTTATTTACTAAAACTTCTACTAAACATTCAAAGATCAAAGCTGACTAAACCTTCGTGATGATATAGGAATGATGGCCAGGGGAGAGAGAGTGAGTGTGGTTTGTGACCATGCAGCGTTGGCCTTACCATGGTCTCATTGATGTCAGTGGCATCTTCTCCTGTTGTGTTTTAGGAGATCATCACACCGAAGGCTCAGCGCTAGTGACTGAAGGGCAGCAGTGGTGGGAGAGCTGCTGCGCTAATGCCATTGCTTGGGAAAACTCTGCGGACACTGCTGCAGGTAAACACCGCTTGGTTACTCTCAAAGCGGCTGATGAGGAAATTCAGGTCGCCTCAAAAGCTAAAGAGTTGCCAGACCTATATTTGCAGGTCCCTCCTTAGCAGCGCATGAGGTTTCTCTTTGGTGTCCTGGATGATGCTTCCAGACCTTTAGGTAATCCGTATGCAACAGAATTATTTTGTGTTCATCCCTAATTTCTGTATAGACGCTGTGAAATTGCTTTTCAGCTCTGTTACCAGCTCAGCGTTTACATTAACATTTGATCCCAACAAAACAAACAAATATGCAGTTGAATTTCAGTACAAGTTTCCAAATAACAGTAAATATTGATGTTTCAAATAGGATCTTTTAGTTGTATGCTCAGGAGTCTCTCTCTTGCCACTGTGACTGTCATGAGCAGATTATCCCCTCGTGTCTCTCTCTACTCCTTTTTCCAAGGAGAGATGCTCTTTAGCGCTCCACGTTCTGGAGCTGGGTGGACTGATGAAGGTCCAGAGCAGGCTTGACTCCAATTTGAACATGATTTGAGAGCTGAGCCTTGCTGTATTTCCCTTTGCTTGTTTTGTGAGATTGCCTGGTGGTTGTCTCCATCTTGCACTGCACTTAATGGCATATTACTGTGCTGGCTTGCTAATATGTTTGTTTAATAAAAATAAAGGCTCAGAAGGAGCTAGTTTTTGTCTGGGGTAAGAGGTGTGACTCCACAGAAAAACTTGTGGGAACTTCCTGCAGCTTTCTGACTTGGCCCAGTAAAAGCAGGCTTGGACCGAACCTACCTGTGTGGGCTTCTCTTTTTTGTAAAACATCACTTTTTAAATCAGAAAATGGCTTCTGCTTAGACTCTCTTTTCTGGTAATTCGTTACAGTTCTAAGCTGTTGCAAAGGTCAAGTAGGAGTTACTTTGCATGTTCCCAAGATCTGGAGATTACTGGTGGTGGTGGAGGGGGAGAAGATGTTTTCTAATACAAGTATGATTAAAAATAACCTGAATGTTTCCCAGTGGTATGTAGAGACCTCTTTATTTAAAAAAAAAAAAAAAAAAAAAGAAAAGAAAAAAAGGAGGAGAAAATCTAAGCCTTTAGAGCCTGTAGAGTATATGATTACTTTTTTCATTACCTTTGTAGAGTCTTGAAAAGTGCTCTGCGGAAGTTATTCAGAGTTGAAGATATATCTCCGTGTAATTAAAACAAGAGATCACTTTGAGACAGCTGCATAGTCTACCTTCAAGTGTGCCCCACACAGCAGTGGAGAGGGTAAGGATTAAGCTCCTTCTTTGCTATACCGAAGTTATCATGAGGCTTCTGCAGATCAAACTGAAGGCATTTGCTTTCGTGTAATGTATTTTTTCTTCCTCTAGGATGAGCGTATCCACATGATAATTACATTTTCTAAGAGGTGCAGAAGTCACTTTTTTAATATACACACTTGTTCCCACCAAATGGGTCAGAGCATGCTCCATTTCTTAAGTATTTTATAAATCTGAATGTCTTGTGATCGTTGTAAGTGCTCCGTAATTAAGTCCATAGTGCAATTCCTTATCAGTTTGGCAGTGCTGCTTGCACCTTCCTCTGAAGTATGTCTTCAGTACTTTCGTAGCTTGCTAATGTTAAGTCCATTTGCCCGTTGTCACTCGTTCGTTCTGCAGAAGTCTGTTTCTTCTTTTAGCTAATAGTTTGCTTCTACTAAGGGAGGACCTGGATCTTTTTCTTTCTGTTCACCTGGAGGGTGCATTTGCAAAGCAAAATCCCCTTCCTGGACAAGGGTTGGTTTGGGGCAGGGGGTGGGGTTAGGGGAGGTTGTCCTACTGTCAAAGGAAAAGACTCAGCATTCATCTGGCAGTTAAGATTTGACTTTCTTTGCAGAGATGGGGAAAGATTTGACTGCATGGGTCATCTTAAATATATCTCACATAATTCCTTCTCTCCCCAGTCAACTCCATTATCTCAGTTATCGGTTATAGCTAGGTGCTTTATTCTAAACATAGTATTATCTAGCTGAAATTTGTCAGACTGAAACGTGTAGGCAGTTGGATTAAATGTTGTACCGGTGAACTGGTAAAACTCTGTGACGTGAATCATAAAACATTCTGAAACCAGTTTTTCAGTTATACTTAGGCATGTAACAAGGCATATGAACGCCAAGTGCAGATGCAAGCGCCTCCCTTGCAAGGCAGCCACCGCTCCGCCTGGTCGCGCACGTCATGCCGTGGAGGCCACAACGAGCGCGCGCAGGGGAAGTTTGCGTGTTTTCGGCAAGGTGAGACACGCTGACCGAGTAATCAGCTTCTAGCTGGTGCACAGCGTGTGGACGTGCTAAGTGTATGATTTTAAATCTGCAATTGTCAGTAAATTATTGATGCCGCGGTGGAAGGTGGCGGTTTGGAAATCTGTCTGTTCATGCAGCCACAGTAAGATAAACTGTTAGAGAAGAAATGGAGTACTTACTGCAGCCTTCCTATCCAAGAAGTATGGTCCTTAAGCAGATTGCATACCTCGTTCAAGCTACCCTACAGCCTTTAGGGCCAAAATGTGCATATAGGTTCATTTGGCTTTTGCTGTCTGTCCCAAGTTCCCTGTGGATGTAAAATAAGGTAGGTAGAAAGATTTTATTTTCCTGAGAGGCATACCTGTCCTCCAGTAACTAAACTAATTTTTCATTTTTCCTTATGGTTGGAACCCTTTTTTCGTTATGTGTTTTGGGGTTTTGTATTCATGGAAGCATGAAATAATTTCGGTTGGAAGGGACTGCTGGTGGTCCTCAAGTGTGACCTCATGCCCCAGCAAGGCTAACTTCAAGTTTAGAAAATCTCCATGTATGGACATTCTGCAGTCTCTCTGGGCCCCTGTTCCAGTGTTTAACCAATGTCACTGCAAGTTTTGCCCTAAATGCAGTTGAAATCCCTTTGCTGCAACTCGTGTCTGTTGCCTCTTGTCCCTTCCCTGGGCACCTATGGGAAGAGTCTGGCTCTGCCTCCTGTATAACCCTTGCGTAAGCAGTGAAATATTAAACAGATAATCGTGGATACTAAATGGGAGTATTACTTAGCTTAAAGCTATTAGACACTTCTTTGGTCTGAGCAGAAATTGTAAGTTACAGAGTTCATCTTAATACCACAACTGAATTGAATGTGATAGATTGACACTGTGTACTTGCTGCATTTCCTATGTTTTTTCCCTAAGCATCTGTTGTCGGAGCCCGTCAGGTATAAGATACGAGACTGGATGGACCTCTCCTATGACTTGTTTTGGCAGTTTTCGTGTTCATAAATTTATGTGATGGAACGGCACAAATGGCATGAGAAAGCCAGGGTTTTGCTTTACATTGCCCCCTCCACCCTCCTTCCCATAACCAAAAATTCTTGTTGCAATACAGAAATTACTTTGGTTGATGAAGAACGTCTCTGGTTTCAGGCCTTCAGTTTAGAGCCCTTCCTGCAGCACAAAAATCAGTTTGCGTATAAACAGGGAAATATGAAGTGTGAGGTGGATTCTTTGATTAAGCCATAGTTCTTTTATACTCAGCTGGGAACAAGTGCAAGTAAAGCATGACCGAAGCCGAGTTAATAGAGAAAGCATAGTGTATTTCCATTATTATCATTATTCTTCCTTCATTATTCAAAAAAGTTTATCACAGTTCATGAGTTACAGAATAGAAAACAATATAGAGCAGAGAATCCAGCAGAGAGCAAACAGCCACATGGATAAAAAATATTAGCTATGCGTCTTTTTAAAAGTAGCATTAGAATGATTGTATAGGATTATTTGAAATTATTAACATCTAGCCTTAATTGTTTTGTTAGGACATGTTTAGATTTTCTAATGACTCCGTGAAAAGCAGGTACCAGTTCTTTGTTTGTGGGGTGGTTTTTTGGTTTTTTGGGGGTTTTGTTTGTTTGTTTTAGGTTGGCGATAAGGTAATAGTACTGGCTAAGTCGGGACTCTGGCAAGAAGTCGTGAATGTGCCAGCTAATCAGACATGGTTGATGCCTGAGGGAATGAGCTTCGAGGAAGGAGCCGCTTTTCCTGTCAACTACATTACTGCCTACATGATCCTCTTTGACTTTGGAAACCTGAGACCCAACCAGAGTGTTCTCATCCACATGGCTGCAGGTAAGTAATTGTTGCCAGCCCATGCCGTGACTCTTGGCCTCAATACACTGCTTCTTAGTGGGGGCACACAGGTCATGAGGCAATCCCGATAGTGCTGGACTGAGAAAACATCATTTGCTGGAGATGCAGGTGTCACATTGACACAGACGCTGGCAAATGCCCTGGAAACTGCTGTGCAGTCAGACTGGGCTTGCTGCCTCAGAAGCCCTGGCAGAGGTGTAAGGGGCTAACGCCATTTCGCAGGAGCCTGAATCAGTCTTCCCGAGCATGATTTGCAAGTTTTGGTTTGCCTCAGACAAAGCCTTTATTCCAAGTCTTAATGGAGTTGTGGGATTAGTACAAGCAGGGGTAACTTACACGTCCAGAGGCTTTCTAGCTGTTCTGGTTCTCTGTTTCCTTCTAAATCTTTCTTGCTGCTTTTTTCCAGGTGGTGTGGGAACTGCTGCCATTCAGCTGTGCAAGACCGTAGAAAATGTCACCATTTTTGGCACAGCATCTGCCTCTAAGCATGATGCACTCAGGGAGAGTGGGGTTGCTCACCCTATTGACTACAGAACGATGGATTATGTAGAAGAGGTCCGGAAAATCTCTCCCAAAGGTACTGTGTGGTAGAGGATTTCTACAACTGTCTTGCATTTATTTAAAGTACAAAGAAACTTCTAGTTACTTTCAATTGCCTCTAGGTGTTGACATCGTCATGGACCCACTGGGAGGATCTGACACATCCAAAGCGTTTCACCTCTTGAAGCCAATGGGCAAACTCATAACTTACGGTGAGTGTGAGAGCTGAGTGCTGAGCAGTGTGTCCGAAGCCTGAGCTCCTGTTTATGAGGGACCATGTGAGAGCAGAGTGGGTGTGAGCTGCATGCATGGGAATGCTCTGCATTGCTGTGGGCTTGGTCACAAGGCCATGAGGGAGCATCACAGTTGCTTGCTGCTGTGACAGTTAGAGTTCAGTTATTTCATCAGGGTTTTTAAGATGCCCTACTTGGGTGGGGCGCTGAGGAGAGTGAGATTTGTGCCTTGTCCTGAGAGCTCTGATCACAGACTGCAGTGCTCTGCCCTCCCATGAGCAGGTTGCTCACTGAGTGTGAATAAGTGCCTGCAGGGGAAGCTGGAATGTCCTCATGGAGGGACACTGGCACAGCTGCTTTGTCTGGCCTGACTTAATGTACAGCACTAATAGAAACTGGCTTTTTTATTAAGGGATGTGTGGGTGATGAGGTTCAAAGCTGCTGAATACTTATCTCTCCATTCCCCAGCCCTGAAACAGTGTGATTTTTGTTTCCGTAGACAAAGCGCTCACACAGTCCCCAGTGGGATTCCAGACGCTTGCATCAGAGTGCTGCCTCTGTTGTTCTGGTGATTAACCATTGCAGTGTGTGGCTTCCCTGGAGAAGCTTGGCTGCGGCAGAAGGGAGTTCTGTCCTGTCAGCGGTGCTGAATGTGACATGTAACCCTCTCTTGCCTCTGCCAGTGCTTCAATCTAGTTGTACTGCTGCCGCCCTCCTAAGGGAGGAGGAGTTTTTTGTTTTTGCAGTACACGGATGCCAATACTCCGCAGTCTGCGCGCCTTGTGGCCAAAGCAGGCCCATGCTTTCACTGAGGGTTGATTGGTCAGATTCTGATATGGTCCAGTTCTCACAGCTGCTCTCCATCACAGTATCCTGTGTGAGCAGCTGTTACCCTGGGTATTGTCTGACCTGTTACAAGGGAAGCCTGTGGCCTTTTGTGTTGTGTTGACTCCAGCTCATCTGTGGCTTGTCTCCTCCTTTTTAGGAGTCTCAAACCTGATCACTGGGCAGAAGAAGAACCTCATGGCTGTGGCTAAAACCTGGTGGAACCAGTTCAGCATCAATGCCTTGCAGCTCCTACACCATAACAAGGCTGTGTGCGGCTACAACCTTGGAAATATGGAGGAAGAGTATGAGCTTCTTGGAGGTGTTATAACCAAGCTGGTTAACCTGTACAGCCAAGGCAAGATCAAGCCCAAGATAGACTCTGTATGGCCCTTTGAACAGGTAAGTCCTGAGCTAATGTACAAGCTGACAGCATCCAGAAAGTACTGTGTTTTCTGTACAGTAAGCTCTGACTCAAGGTGAGCACCTCGTTTGTGGGGGCTGAACGGTTGCAACAACCAGCTGTTCTCAGACATTCACGACCCTCCTCCCTTTAAGTATTAAGGGCAAGGAAAGTGGCTGGGGTCTTCTGCTCCAATGCACAGAGCTGGACAGTGCCAGACAGTGTCCCTGTGGAACCAAGCAGGTGCTCAGCTGTGTTCTGTGGCTAGCAGCAGCCCATGAAGCGATAGGGTTATACATCAGACTGGAGACTGCTCTGAGTCTGCACCCCGCATAATTACGCGGACGGCTGGAAAGGGCAGCAGCAACCTTCCCTGGATGGAAGGGAGCCCAGGCAGTGAAGCAGAAGGAGGATGTTGAAAGGGAAGCTGCAGCTTCTTCAGCAGCTGGTGTGCTCGATGCTACTGCATCACTGTGTCTGAGTAGAGTCAGTTTCTTCCCTTGAAATCTTTTGCTGGGGTAGGGGCTATTGCAGGAGAGCAAAGGACTTGGTAACAATCCGTTGGCGTTACTGATCTGCAACCTAGTCTGAGGCAAGTGCTTAAGGAAAACTATGTTGATTCTAAGCATGGCCCAGGTGCTGTTTTGCTTAAAAATCTGTAAATTGTTGTCCTAGGGTTGTGTAGGTGGTAACAGTGTTGTCCTTCTGGCTGTTGGCTGCGTCTCTGCTATGTTTCCCTCTGTGTGTCACTACAGCTTCCTTTCCACACCTCTGCTGTCTTTCCCAGCTTGCACAGTAGAGCATTCTTTCTATGGTGTGCGTGAGAATTACTGAGGACAGTTTCCTGTAGGCAGTCTCAGGTAGTGCCCAGCTCTGTCCAAAGTGCATCTGTGCAGAGGCACTCAGATGTCTGGCACTTGTTTGGGCTGCGGGAAAAGCCACCTCATGGATCCCCTCAGACTAGCCTGGGTGGACCAAGGGAGCCTAGGAAGGGTGTGACTGCACTGCATGGTGGGTGTGGATCTCATGGGATTCCTGTTGTTTCTAGGTGGCAGATGCCATGAGGCAGATGCAAGAGAAGAAGAATGTTGGGAAGGTCATCCTAGTTCCTGAAGTACCGAAGGAAGAATCCAAGAAAGAAGAGAACTAATGAGGAGAGAGATGTGTGCAGATTGTGAATTCATGGTTTACCTCCCTGATCTCTTTGGGACCTGGAAATGGACAGTTCAGTAGCTTTCATCTTTGTCAATACAGGAGCATCGTGGTTAAAGTTCAGATGAGGTTTGCATGCTCTTGTCATGACTGGCCCTTTGCTAGGTATGCCTCCTGCCCTAGCTTAGCTTTATGTTTTGAAGCCTATTTCACACACTTTTCTAATCAATTGTTTCTCTTCTGAAATTCCAAGCTAATCTTATTTTCCTCTGGCAGTGCAACTGAAGCTTCCAGGCAGCTAGTAATTAGCAACTGCCTAGCCTATCTATGTAAAACGAAAATGTGAAACGAATGTGATAGCAGCTGCCAAGTATCTCCACAGAAACTGAGCCCATGTAGTAGCACTTGCCCTGTCACCTGTGAGAAACACATTCAGCAAAAGAATGGGCCAAACTGAGGAAGCTTCTTAGGTAGCCAGAGGAAAAGTGTGGCTGGCCTAGTCTTGTTCTAGCACTGGCTACTGTGCAATTACACTTTCACAGGCCTCTAATACCAGTGAGATAGTAACAGGTCATCTTGTCCTTGCCTTGTAAATAATCAGCTTGGCATTTTGGAGTCTATAGCGTATTGCACTCTTGATTTGCAGTCACTTCCCTGTGCAGTCAGCAAATGACCTGAGAGGCTGGTCTGGTTTGTGTCTAAATACTGAAGAAAAATTTCAGTTGGGTTCTGTGATCTTGTCTGTTTTCCGATCCCAAACTGCAAAGGGAGGACAAACTGTGTTTGATTTTTAGAGACCATAAGGACTCAACTGTGTCTCAAATGACTGGAACAATTGATGTTGGCGCTGTGCTTTATTAATGTTGGGCTCTAAGTTGATATCATTAAGGCTAAACTTCACTCTCATGTTTGTATTTCCAAGGGCTGCAGTGTGTAATCGGACTTCAGCAAGACGGGGATAAGCATCTGTTAACACTTGCTTTGTGCTGTGCCCTGTGCATTAGGGAGAAGATGATGCAGTTTAGGAGGTAACTGGCAAGAACCAAGCCTGTAAACCTGCTTCTCGGGAAATCCTGGGCTAGCTCAGGATTCCATGGCAAGTCATTCAGTGAAGCTATCATTGAGTTACAAGTACAGATGGCAAACTGTCTAGCTCCGTGTCAAGCCTCTTGACCTGGGCATCTTGAGCAGTCTCAATTGCGCTTTCCATTCTCTTCTAACTGTCTCTCTAGGCAGCCACTCAAACCAGCTCACATGTTATGGTTTGGTGCTGCAGTAGGACTTGCCTCTTCTTTCCCCTGAAACTGCCAGTCTTGGCATGCTTAGGTTCTCTTACTGCACCAAGGCTTTAGGGACCACCTGAGGTGCTCCTCCCAGACTACAACTGTTTCTCCTCTTTTCTTCCATGCACTTGGCAGTGTAACTGTGCAGAGATCCAAACCTAATTCTGTGAGCACTTAATGTCGTGGGTGGTGCCCCTCCTTACTGTTGTGCTCTGTTTTCAACCCTGGGTGACTGTGTTGCTGTTTGCATTTGCTTTAGCAGTTTGAGCCTTTTCATGGATTGCAGGTGCTGCAGGGTTTTAGGCTTCATTTTGGATTTGAAAAAGTAAATGTGAGAGCACCAAGAAGAGCTGCCCATCATGGAAGAGCTCAGGCTCCAGGAGCAAACATTTGCCAAGTGTTGCTGCTCAACCAAACTCCAGGAAGGAAAGGGCCCGCTTGGCTAGAGCCCTGTATGAAAAGCCCCTCTCTGCTTGAGAACGCAGTGAAACGTTGCGTTGAGGGTTTTTCTGCGTAAGTAGCAAGAGAACGTGGCTTCTTCCTCTGTCAGCTGTATCCTCCACAGGAGAAATAAATGGTGCTCCCATCTAACAGTGCAGCTTGTATTTCAGGTGCTGGGGTTCAGTCCCTAGTTTTGCTACCTATTAGAGATGCATAGACATAGACTCCACGGGACTTGCTCTGGTTAACTTTTAAATATTAAAACAGCCCTAACACCTAGGACCTTGGAGAAGGGCTAGTGCGCAGTCACAGATGCTTATCTTTCCATTTCTTGCGCTTGGTATGTGAACTTCATAAACACAGGCTAATGAAATTCACAGCACAACTCTTAACCTTTTCTGAATCCAAAATCTTGCTGCTTCTGCTCTCAACCTGCCTCTATCCTGCTAATTTAGATGAAGTCAAACAGTGTCTAATGCTGCTTTACCATGTCTGACAACAGAACGACTGTCTAAATTGATGAGATGGAAAGTCTGGACCTGTTCCTCTGTGAAACCTGACTTCACCTTGATGAAAGCGCAGCATGCTCAAATGGCACACAGCACTGCGAATCTTCAGATTCTGCAAACTTATAAAGGGGAAACTATCAAATTGTGTTTTACAGTAACATCTTTCTGCTTTACTCTCAACTACTAAGTGTATGCCCAGTGCCTTACTTAGATGGCCTTAGATTAGGCAGCATAGGAAGGCTTTATAATCTGGTCCATCTTGATACAGTGTGAAGGAAGGAAGTAGGAATCTTGAAGCTTCTTGTAGGGCACCTCTGACATATGCTGCCTTGTGATGCACCACAGAAGACGGTATCTCAGTGCCTTCTCTACATGCTTGTAAGGACTAGGAAGTCACCGGAGCCTTTCCCATTCAGGCCTTTCAAAGTACTGCCAAAAACCTGTTGTGATCCTTGCTAGCTCTGTTTTGTGAACACTGGTGATGTAGTTTGACTTTGCTTGAATGTGACACCCTCTTTACATGTATTACCGACTTTCCAGGACTGTCCTGGATGTTCTGTGCGCCTGAATCCAGAAGAGTTGTATTGTAAAGCAGTTGTCTCCCCTGTAATGACTTCTCAATTGAGGTGTTATCTGCTGCCCATGCTTTGGCTCTCTGGAAGCAGTTAGGGCTCCCTGGTCTCCTAGGGTAGCTGCTAGTCTATTTTTCTATCTACAAATTCCTGAAGCCCTGTTCAGGATATGAGTTCTGAGCAATTACTATGGTCTTCAGTTACTGAATTTAACTGTGTTTTCTCCCTCAGTAGCAACAATGTTTTCTACAGAAAGACTAAGATTAAATATAACCTTGTTCCTTGCTGCCTAGCTAATTAATGCTCCTTTTTTAATAGTCTTTTTTTATAGGCAAACACTTTTAAGGGCCAATAAGTATGAAACCTATGTAAAACAACTTTAAGTGTCTTAACTTATTAAAGTTAACCAGCAGGTTGTATACCAAGGACCAAAAAACTAGGATTAAAAAAAAAGAATCATTCCATTCCGGATGTTGCTTAACTGTTTAGGGCAAACTCATACTATCAGGGAAATGGAGGATTCCTGTGCTTATGTCGTGCATGCCATTTCAGATAGCAGAAGTGCAGTTGGACGCTTATTTTACTGATTGCCTGACCCAAAGGCTGTGCCATGAGGAGAGGAGGCCAGGTGAAAAGCATGAGTACTGAGTTCATGCGCACAGAAGGAAAGGCTTCCTTGGCCCTGCCCTCTGCCTCTTGTGCTGCTGTGTACGCACTGCATTGGGTGCATGTGCTTATGTTACTAAGCACAGGGATAACTGTTGAAATGCTGCTCCCATGTCATTACTGTAGTCACCTCTTTGGATTCAGTTTTGGCAGTTCTGATCTTGGACAAAATGCAACTCTTGCTATCACCAGGCAGCTGTAGTCAAGCTTTTGACTCTAATTTTCTCTCATGCTCGTTTCTGTTGCATGCTAACTGTAGAAGAGAAAGGGAAGCAGCCTCACCTTGCACAGAGGAGCACAACCCCTACTAAGTTCTGTAGCATTAGCAAAGATTGAAGATATGTTGAGAAGGGGGGCAGGAGTTTAGCTGTATATTTCATTTCAGAACACCTGTGTTATGAGAGTTGAGTGATCAGTGACAACTAAGTGTTGTGGGTATCAGGCTTTAATCGGTGCAGGAGCCTGGCCTGCTTACCGCTGCTATCATAGATGTAAAACCACTGTTGTTGCCAAATGAAGTCTCTGGTGTTCTAAGCCCTGGTGATGGCAAAGTGTGACTGGCAAGTAGTATGTGAGCATGATGTGAAATGCATTAGACGCTGAGCCTCTTACAACATATGGTCTGGTCTGTACCATCTGAGTCATGTTGATTTGCAGATCTGTGATGCGAGTGACACTCATCCTACAGACACTTGGAAAAGCTTTGTTTAAAAAATATAATTCTGCTTTGTGCGTGTAACCAAGTTGGACAGAAAGCAAGTGTGCCAATGCTGTTTACATGACTACAATGTGTAATGCTCCTCTGTCTAATGTTGCCATATGCCTTATGTGTTTCAAATGTTAATTAAAAGCATAACAAAACCCTCAGTGGCATGCTGCTCAATCTCCTGCCAGAGCAGAACCCCCTGCCCCCAGCTCAGCCTCTAGGGCACTTGGGTTGTTTCTGCAGGCAGGCAGTGTGTGGACACATTCAGTTTATCGATTTTTAACAGCTCTCCCAGGGTGAGAAGAGCCTCTGCTCAAGGACAAATGTTAATTGTTGCCTTGAGTGTTACATCCATCTTGTAACGCTCTGTTCTGGAGGGCAGCTATAGCTGGTTTTGTTTGCAGAGCCTGTTGCTGGCCTCCGTGCTTTAATCTGCGTCTGGCTGTCTCTGTAGCCTGGCTAGATTGAAATAGGTGCCTGGGGGTGACTGTAAGACAAGGCATGAGCAACCACTAATAAAAATGGGGGAATAAAGCTTGTTTATTTGCATTTCTTCACCTTGAGACAGTCCATGTCTATATATTGTCATGGGAGGCAGCTGTCCTAGGAGCTGAAACCTGTTAATGTTCCCTCCAAGAGAACATAAGGCTTCCTGCTGTCCCCAGAACAGGTGCTGGGGAGGGGCTGTAGCTTGAGGCTGTCTACTTGAGGAATGAAATGTCTAAGTTAACAGCTGAAATTAATGACAGCTCAGCTTTGCCACAGGTGCTGGAAGTGGCTGGGCTGGAAGCTGCCCATATTAGCCAGAGGAGGAACACAATTCCAGAAGGTGGGGCTGGGCCGCAAGCAGGCTTCTGCCTGGATTTGAGTTATTGACACCCTGTTGAAAGCCATGTGAGGCTCAGCCTGGATCTGGTGTTGAAACCAGCTCCTGCTTAACTAGTTGGTGAAGACATGCATCCAGGAGGAGCTGGAGTTTCAGTGAAGCTTAGATTCAAGCTAGGGCTCAGGGGGCTGGAGGAGCTGCTGTCACTAATGTGCAGATTTCTAGCTACCTCTGAGGATGCGAGGAGCTCGCTGGACAAGCAAGTCTTTTCCTGAGCTGTCAACTTTGAGCTGCAGTTATGGCAGCTAGGAAGGAAGGTGAAGCGAAGGAATGGGATGTGGCTGCTCAGACAGGGAGCCTTACGCGATGCCCAATTTCTTCAGGACTGTGCAAACCTCGTGGAGATACTGGGCATCTGGATACCCGTTCCTGTGGGGCAGAGAGGGAAGTGCTGTAAATGCTGGTGACAGTGCCAAAACCGTTGGGGGTTGGAGGGAGACAGTTTACTTTCGCTCTAGCCTCGCAACTAGAGCGAGAGTGGAAGTTCTGTTGCCTGGAGCTACAAGCAGCAGCTAGCTGCTGCTGTTTGCACTGCCACAGCTGGCTGCAGAGAGCTGTTATGGGAGAAGCCAGGAAAAAGGAGCTGCAAGTGAGCAGAGCCCAGAATTCTTGCTCCATGGGGGACTGAGGAGTGTGAGATGGGGAAGGGCTCCAGCTGGAGTGTGCCAGTGCTGATCTGCCACACAGCAGCTGCCCTGCGAGAAGGAGCAGGGCACCGACTGCCCTTGTGGGAGCCTGGAAGCACCCCAGGTCCCAGGATTTGTTGAGCTGAAGTGCATGTCTCTGCTCCTGTTATTGCTAAGCAATACCTGAAGGCTTTGATTTAGCTGACCCATACCTGGCCTTGCCTCCGTTCCAGGAGGTTTTGTGTGGGATAAGGCCCCATGTCACTCTT